CAACTTTTTTTTTTTTTGCTCAGCAAAATTCAGACAAATAAAGCTTTCTAATTCTTCTCATTTACCAAAAAAATATTGCAACAAAAATTGGGAAACTTTTCTTTTATTAGAAGCCAAAAATTACACCGGTGATACCGACAAATCGTTTTACAATACGAACTCTTTAACAGACCGTCAACAAAATAGCAACATTTACTCTGTGCCATTCTCCCTTTTGGCTTATACCTTCTTTTATCGTTTCTGTACTTTAAATATCGTTTTTACTGATTGTTGTCACCGTCAATGGTTCAGTGCACTTGTCGAAGAATTTACAAATAACCTCTTTCCCTCTCCCCACTCGTCAAAAAAAAAAAAACGTAAAATGAAATAAAATTTATGCCCTGCTTTTTTTTTTTTGACTGTACTTTAGCGTAAGTATAAAAAAGTCAAAGATAACAGGTTAAAACTTCAGAATAAAAAAAAAAAGAAATTTTATTTCTAAAATTCAACAAATCGTTGAAAAGTTTGGCAGAAAAAAAAAGGAAAAGCATACAAATTTTTTTTTTTTTGATGTTCCAACCAAAAGCTATAAAATTTATGTTGTTTGTTTAACCGATAAAAACAAAAATTTACAAGACACCTCAAAATGTCAAGCAAAGTCAAGCAGAAAAAAAATCAGCAACAATTTGCTGAGTAGAAAAGAGCTTTTTTTTTCAGGTTTTTTTGTATGTATGCTTATTTGATTTTAATGTAACCAAAAAATTTTTATGAAAAGTATAAAACATTAAAAATCACGTCGAAAAATTTTACAATGATTCCTTAAACCAACAACAATCAATGACACCTCAGAACAACAAAAAATACAGACAAAAAAAGACGATGTTCCAAAACTGCAAATCTGATAAATGCAAGAAAAAGAAAGAAATGTTTAAAATAGTAAAATACAGCATGAAAAATCAGTTACATATTATAAATAAACAATCTGTATTTTATACACAATAAGGTATCATGCAAATTTTCCACTGATGCGTGAATCATTATACTGCTAAGCGAAATAACCAAAAACGGAATATCTGCTCGGCAGTACTATGATGTTTCATAAAGATACACTAAATTCTATAATCTATAAAAAATAAAATAGAATTTCTTCAATTACTGTTAATGACATTAAAAATGTTCAGGCTAACAAAAAATTACCTCGATGTACAGTTTCTTTAAACTAATTTCGTTCTCGTAAATACGACTATGAAATAATTTTCGTTTTCGTTCCTAAAACAACAAAAAAAAGGAAATTAGAAGGAGGACTATTACATAAGAAAAATGTTTTGCAAAACAGAATTAACTGTTTTTTTCTTTCACTTTAATTAAGTCATCTAACAAAAAACATAGCTTCAAAGAACAAAAGCTGAACAAAACGGTACACATTGTACATTACATCTAATTGTTCTCCTGAAGTTGCTTGATAATAACAGATTTATAGACATATTTATGGATGTCATTTAGAAGCTGCTAGGAGAAAACGAAAAGCCTTAAGAATCTATACAGAACTTTTGATGCATTAAAAACGTAAGATCCTTTCAAGCAACCGCAAGCTGTAACTGTTCAATATCAAAAGATTTGGCTATTTGAAGAGAAAGTGATATATGCAATAAAATAATTTGAAGGTTAGGAAACCGACAACAATTTATTCATTATACAGTGTTTTGGAATGAAGCAATTTCAAAGGAGCTTTTTTTTCCTGCAGTTTGAAACACTTTTAAACCCCATTCTAATCAGCTACCTACTTCCTAACGTTGTACAGATGACTCTGATTAAGAATAAACTAATGTTTTTTCAAACAAAAGTTAAAGCCAACATGAACAATTCATCAAATATTTAATCTCAATATTTTTAAAAACGTTTCTTTCAAATGCTTACCTGAATAAGACGGTTAGTTTTGCGATCATTAACAAACGATAGTGGAAGAATCTTTTTTTGAATCTCCATTGGTAACATCGGTTCTGGATCGCTAACACAACTAAGAATGTTTGTACGCCGTGGTCTTATTTCTGGACTGATTACTGAACGTCTTCTAAAAAACAGTTGATCTTTGTACACGGTGTAAATGTTAAGCCTGATATATTGCAATTGTTACATAAAACTCTGTCTTAAGTTCTACTTCAAAGCTAATTCTTTAGCCAAATTTGATGACGCAGCAACTTTCTGCTCCATTTCCCAAGGAGTTATCATCATTTTTTGAGCCATTTCACGCATACGTTCTGAAAAACTAACGTTGGCTGTATAAAAAAGAAAATTTTTTTTGGTTAAGAAATTGTCGGTTAAGCTGCATTATATAATTTTAGGTGCAAATCATTTCAAACTTTATTTGGTTGAACAGTTTGTAAAACTAACCAAATTGTCCTTTTGCTAACTGCTGATGTAATTCTTGCGTTTTTCTTACCGGAGCCATTAGTTCTCTTTCGACGCTTAACTGTATGCTGGCCAAAAAAGCTGCTTGATCTTTTGGGCATGGTAGATTTCCAGTCAAAATTCGTTCTTTGAGCTAGAAATTATTCGATATCTGTGATCAGCTTAAAATTAGTTTGAGAAGTTTAATAAAAACTGTTGTAGAAGCAAAATCTTTGTAATAACTGTTATCTGTTAAAATATTTAATCTTTTTGCAAATTAATTTTAATTAGACGTACTGTAAAAAAAAATCTTAAATTTCACTACCTCTTTATATTCCTCTTTAACTCGTTCATCTGCCACTAATGCAGCTTCTAGCTCTGGTTCCTAAAGAAATCAAATTTACTAACAATAACATTGAAATTGTTTGAAAAGCCTAAAACTTAGTATTATAAAATCAGAAAAATTATGTAGTTTAGCTCAACAGATTTGTTCTATTTTTGTTTTTGTTCAACAAACTCAACAGAAAAAGTATTGATTTGAAAGAATTGATATTTTTTATTTGTTATTTTGTTGAAATAAAAAATCTGAATAATACTTGCTTCCTTAAAATAATTATTCTGTACAGTGTTCTGATTAAATCGCAGCTACAAGTTAAACTTACAAATCATACTGTTTGCACTGTCATTTCCAATTTTTTGGTACAAAATTTACGTATTTATAATGAATTTTGAGAAGACACTGATTCGTTGCAGTAGATAAAAGAAGATGTAAAAACTGCTTCTTACAGAAAATTATAAACCCTAGTAAGTTGTAAAAACTAAATTTACTTTTTATTACTTAGTTATTCAACTAATCAATCCTCTCGAAATGTTTATTTCGAAACAAAGGTTTGTCCAAAATTGAAGAGAACGATTTATAAAAACTCTATAAAAATTATGAATTTTTAAAATTTTTTTAGAGCCTATGTACTGATTTACCTTTATCAGGCATTGTGAAACAGATGTTGTACTTTTGATTTATTTATCTCGTTGATTTATGGAGACTTAAAAGAAGAGTTCTAATTGAAATGAAACTAACAGAAATAGCGCAAAATGGTAGTAAAAATTGAGTATCTAACTTTCTGTGACGCAAATTGCATTATTAATATTCAAATAATTGTCGTATGTTGACAGTTAAGCCGAACCAGAAAGTAAAGAAGAAAAGCACTTACAATATGAAATGCGACTGTCTGTATTATTTCATTACACCTGAAAAAGTTTGCTGTACTCAAAAAGTTCCAAATCTACTATAAAAGAAGTGATTTAACAAAAAAAAAATATTGAAGTAACTTGCAAAGAAGGCTTTACCAAAATTACTTAACTGAAAATTAGATATCGACTTTATTCTTTACAAATAACATTTAATACATCTGTAGAACACCTGTGATTACAGTGCCAATTAACCGCCATCATATTTTTAAAATTTATGCTTTGCATTCTTTTCACTCGTAAAAATAAGGATCTACGCATCTAGGCTAGCTTTGATAGTAACAAGTGTTTAGCTTATATACCTATATATAAAAATTTTCCATATTGTTTTTCACACTTCAACAGACAGCGCCGAATGAGCTTTTCACAGATTCAAACAAAAAGCAGCCAGTTTGAAAAGGTGCGCCTGGAAGTTTTTTTCAGAAGTGCTTCACTTGGGAAAAGCAATAAACAACAAGAATAATAGCTGTGCTTTTGGACAAATTAAGAAAGTAAATATTTGCATATGAAAATTTTCACTGAAACACCGTTTGTTTTAACAAAATTCCAAGTCTGTAATTCTAGCCTGAAATTCAAAAAATTAAAATTTCTGACTAGTGTTTTTTCCTGTATATAGTTGAAAAAGATTTCAAAAGGGACAAAACCCGTAAAAAAAAAGAAATATCAAAAAAAAAAATTGGGAGTCAACATTTTGAACAGAAACAACTGTAATCGATGAAAAGTATGAATAATAAGAAATTTGGAACAGGATCTCTCATACCGTTAAAACATTGTTGCGAATGTTGTTTTCAAAAAATTTCCTTAAAAAAAGTGTTTTAGGAAACAATAAAGAGCTGTCAAGAAATCATAAAGTACCACTGCTATGGAATATATCCAGAGAACATAATAATTCAAGGTAATCTTTATGAAAACTGCAACATCTTTAGACATCAGAAAGATTTTTTTATTGTTGGTTGTTTGTTCTGCAGATGAAACCGTTTTATTGATAACTGTTTTGCTGCTTTTAACTTGCACTACTTAAGAACGTTTAGAAATTTTTCGGGGTTAGAAGGATCGTCAGATGTGTTATTTTTGTATACTACTCTAAAGTTTTTGATCAGATCTCAGTCCTTGCTATTAGCCCTTCTACTTTTTTTTTACGGGCACAACGAATCAAGCCTCACAATAAAGTTCTAAGTTTCAATCCCGGATGTATTTTCACGGTCGCTTTAGCACATTTTGCTTGCTGGAAAGACAGAGAAGGCTGTTTTCTCCATAAAATTTTTCTAAATCACACCTTGGATAGTGTCGTCATCACTGTAATATCATGAAAGATTATCACTTGGTAAAGGGATTTTGCTTTCTTAGTTTGCATAGCAAACTGATGTGCAAGTTTCGCTTTGTTTAGGAGTGACTAAAAAAGCTAAAAAAAAGTGGCTGCGGTATACTTAGGAATAATTGGGCTATTAATCGTCACGTCCAAGCTGTTTTTAAAACAAAGATTCTCTGATTCTTCAGCGTTACTTCTTGCATGAAAGTCCAATTTTAACTTTTCTTCAGAGACTCCACTGTTTCATACTTTCATTTTCAGAGCAATCCGATTATTTTCTAGATAGTTTTTCAAACTCTTACATGTACTTTAGTAGAAAAATTGCATGCTAGCAAAACTCTAAATTTGGAATCAAAAAAGTAGACAATATTTTAAGTATTAATTGCGTACTCTTATTTGTTGCTAAGAAATTTTTTTGCATTTTTGTTTCGCCCTGATTTTTTATACGTTTACGCTGCTAAAATGTTTATAAATCTTCTCTTACTATGAGAAATCTTTTTGAATTATTTTTCGTGATCGAAACACAGTCTTTCTCTCAATCCACATTCTCACGGCGAATGTTCATTACACAAATATTTCTGCCTTTCCACTGCTGTCCCTTAAGTCTTTTTTATTATTTTAAAGCTTGAATTACAAATTTTATGTTATATTTTTAACAAGATTTTTGATCCGTTTGCAGTTTGCAATCAGCAAGCTGCAGTGATTATGCGTCACAACTAACATTTGTCAGAAGTTTCTATCATTTGGGAGTTGCTTACGCGAAATTGCCACATTAAGTCAGCCGTATGTCGCAAGTGTTGCCTTAATTAGTCATATCGCAAAGGAGGTATAAATTGGGAGTTTATAAAAATAGTTTAGTCAAACAGCTACTGCGCTCTTCGAGAACAAATTAGCAGTAACACTAACCAATTCAACTTGTTATTCAAATGGTGCATTAAAGTTTAAGTCTAAGGCAACAGTAAATAAATATGGTTGTTTTGTGGCACCTTAAGTATAATAATTATACTGTCGTCTATCATTAAGAAATTAAAGGCTGAATACGCTTTTTCTGCCTTTATTTCAATTGAATTTTGTTCTGAAGACATTTACATCCAAACCTTACTGTTGCGGGAACCGTGAGACTTTCACTTGTAGTTGCATACGTGACTATGATGAACTCGGTTTCAGAAAATAAAAAAACTAGGGATAGCGATTTTGTAGTTAAACAACGGAGTTTACGCCTATTAGACTTTTTGTTTTCCATGTGCAGCGTTATACAGCTGCAGAAACAGCACGATGTGATGAAAGCATGATCGCTCAGAGAAAAAATAAAATTCTTTCTGGCCAAAAGGCTAAATTCTCATATCAAATTTGAAAGCTGTAATTATATGAGTAGACTAAAAGTCATTTTTGTAAAATAGGAAAGCTGGACATTTTATGTTTTAAAAATCTCAAAAATTTCAGTAAAAGTGTAAGATGTTGCTCAGAAGTTTACTCACGTATTTTCTCTATATAACCCGTCGTAACCGTACTGAATGTCTGTGCTTTGCATTGGATTACATTGCATTGCTCCAGCAGCGAAGAAATTTTCCCCATATCGCTTTAACAAATGACTCACTAAAGTGGACGTACAAAAGCTGACAAATTTCACGTACCAACTTTTGATCTTTGGATGTTGTGGCGAGCTCAGTATTTGTCGCATCACTTCTGCACACTCTTCAACTGCGGAAACAATGTTTGGTCTTTTGTTCGAATACAGTCCCAACAGATCGACGACCAGCTGACGCACACAGTGAAAATCGGGATTCATTTCACTTATCACAGGAAATAAAGGGCTCTGAAGCAAATATTTTAAAATAATAATACCTTGGAAAAAGATGCAACTGCAAAACAATTCTTAGTAAAGAATTTTTAAGATGCTTTGATAGTTCAAGCTCATCACTTTTCAAACCTTTAAAATTTCAGTTTTTATTTTTCGGCGGTAACTGCCAAATGCATCACAGGTACAATATAAATTTTTCGCTTTACTCCGCAAAATATCTTTGTAATACAAAGCAAAAAAAGCATTGTGCTGGGTATCAGATAATTGTCACTGGTTATTCCTCCAAAGTTTTTAAATTAACTCAAAAGTGGGTACGTAAAATGGGCTAACCACCTGGCAGTAGAGAGGTAAATGAGATAAAGTAACTTATATAAAAAATGAAAAGGTAAAATCCGCTTTGACAAAGTCAATCTAAAAATTTTATTCTATTTGATTCTACTTACCTCTCGACCTGAAACCCTTAAGCTGTCGCTGGCCGAACTACGTGACAAAGGGCTCAAAGCACGACGTGGAATTGGAATTCTAGTTCCAACAGTTGAAGCCCGTTTACGCACGGCAAACCGGAAAAGAAACAGACCGGAATTATCTGACGTTATGCTTGCCTTGCTTGTTCTTCTGGAATATGATGTCGATAATCGCATACATGCACTTGAACGAGAAGACCTTTGGCTCATAACTGACGAAGCACGTGAACTCCAACCACCAATTGAGCTTTCTAGATCAGTCATCACTTTGTTATTTAGAAATTCTCAATGCTCAGCTTTGTCGTTGAGTTAGATAAAAATATTATAAAAACTTTCTTACCGTCTGAAGATTTACGCGACATCTGTACACCATTGGTAAGCAATAAAGGAGAGCAGTCAGAGACGTCACTGCATGTCATCTCTGGTGAATTGATGAAATAATCAAACTCAATCTGTGATAGTGCTGACGGCCTTCGAATTTCAATAAGTGGTAATCCGGGAATGGCTTGCGGTGATGATGGCCTTCTTTCTCCTAAGAGATTAGGCACTAAACTGCTACTGTTGTTTTCTTCCATAGAATTTGGATTTAACAGTAGAGGAGACCTTTAAATTAAAGTTGTCGCTTATATTAACAAATGACGTTTCAAAATCAACTAATTTTGAAAAGTTTATTTGTCATAAGTATTCTACTAATAAGCAATTTCTGTTTTCAAGAAGTAGACTAGTTCCTGACCGTGGTGGTGATGCGGCTTGAACCTCAAGTTCAGGCAAAAAGTTGCAGGTCGGTTTGGGTTTATCGCTAAAGGAGTCCTGTTCACCGCTTTGCATCATCGCCTGCCTCAAGGCCTCTCTTCTAGTCAGTGGATAATTTTGTAATTTTCGCGCAAACTCTAGGATCTCCGACTCGCTCGTGTTACTGTCTACGCTAGAATCTCCTAAAATTTTATCGCTTTTCTAAAAAAAAATCAAAGAAATTTCTTTATTGAGGCAATTCATTAATATTTGGCATGAAGATTACTGTTAACAATAGCAAAAACAGAATCTATTATAAAATAGAGATAAGAAAGAGTCCTCCATTACTTGGAGGATGTTTGCGAACTGGATCGGTAACGGTACGTTTGCGAAGTAGTGTCTTAATGTATTTTGGAAAGTGCTTTGAAACGCTAGAACCAGTTTTCCTTGAACACTTTGAACTACTTGAAGTATCAGTCCCAAGTCTGGAAATACAGTGATACTACAATGAAACTAAGGAATATTTTTGTTGTTTATTAAAAAGAAAGACAAGGAAAGCTAATACTTATTTTAGATTGAACACGCTTATCCAAAAACGGTAGCCGACATTCAAATTAAAAAACAAACCTTTTTCTTCTTTCTTTCGTTCTGATAAAGCTGCTAAACCTGTTGGTTTCTGGAAGATCCAGTGAACTAGTTCTGCGTATTTTGACACGCCGAGACGATCTGGAACTACATCGACCTACTGTCAAGTAATTCTCGTCTTTTCCATATCGTTTTTCGCTCTTGCCAGCTTTGCTAAAATGGAAACAGTAATCTTTGTAACGTTTTTATGACGCAAAGCTGTTCACAGATTTTGTCTAGGAAAGTTTATAAATCACAAAAATAATCAATTTATTCTTTGACGATAGAACCTAGGTGCAAGGTGTAAAATGGTTGATCATTTTAATTAGCCTTAGTTTTTTGCTTTTTGGTTTTGCTTCTAAGCGATACAGCAACAAAAATTCTTAATTTTAGAATTTAAAAAAAAACCTTATGTTTGCTCCTAAGCTGGCGCTGTACCGTATTCTCGACATACCAACTTTCAGAGAATCAATGACTGCTACTTTTTTTTTCACTACGCTAAGGTCCCAAATCAGTTTGTGCAGTAGTAGTCTAAGAATCAACATAGGATCAACGATAATAGAAATTTTGCAAAGATGTTCTCTTAAATTTTCTAAAATAACGCTTGAGTCGTCTGAATGCTCATCCCACTGCGACCGTTTCTCTGCCTCTTCCTGCAATCAGATAAATATTTCAGACAAAAGCTAACGGCAGTTTTTTAAGTGTCAAACCAAAAGTCTTTTAGAGCATATTAAGATAACTTTTGACAACTATTTTAAGTAAAATAAACTAGAAATAAATACTCAGACTAGACTTGATCTATTATTTAGCATACTCTTTACCTTCTCTGTTTCCTTCGTCCCATCCGACGTTGTAGCAACAACATTTGACGTCTCTTCTGTAATTGGATCCACAGAGGCTTTATGTTGCAATTTTTTGTCCAGCTGTAACGCATTTTATAATCGTAGAGCTAGACGGAAAAGCAATTCATCATTGTAAAAGAAAGAAACCTCTTCCAAAATTTCTAGCAGCACTTGTTCCACCGAAATTGACCTTTTGTCTAATCTGTCTAAGGTATTCGGCGTCGAACATGTTTGACATATGCAGTCATCCTCGTCGGGTTGGATCGTGTGTCTACCAATGCTACATTCAGAGCCTTAAAATCCAGCAGCTAGTACAAAACAGCATGTATTTTTATATCAAGAAATGAAAAAAACAAATGAATTCTAAAAACTCTTTTACAGTACTTTGATAACGGAATAATAGAGCTGTTGACTAACCTGAAAAGTGAAAAATGCTAACACGATTGCTCACACGATCTCCCATCCCAACATATACAAGAATTCTTGCAGCGTGGTATTTCACATAACGACCGTAACAAGTGCTATGATTTGTGTGATACCTAAACCTTTTTTTTGATTACTGTTTAGTGGTTCGACTGTAAAAAATTGCAAAATATATTATAAAACTGTTTTACTTTAGAGCTGCTAAAACCGCTGGTCTTAAATAGTGCTTTTTAAACGAATTTTGGAATAAACTAATACGGTAGAGCTAGCCGAGGTTAGGGTAGAAGGGGCTAAGGTTTTATTGACTTGTTGGAAGTAAAGAAGCATTAAAGCTGGTAAGTGATCCGGTACCAGTCATCTGCTGGTAGAATGAGCTGAACTAATTTGTCGTCAATATCTAGTTCGACAAATAATTTGTGCGTAGCTGGGTCAAGTGCTAACAAGGCCAACGTTTGGAGAAGTAGGCAGAGAAGTTGCTGTAAAGTTAGAAACGATTGGCTACGGTAGTTGAAAAAATCACTGGTTTAAAAACTATAATTTGAAATTTCGTAGTAATATGATGAATCTAAGTTTATTGCGCTACAAAACATTTGTATGCTTAAAAAAGCATTTAAGCACTACCGGGTCAAGCGTTGGATCCAGCAGTTTTGCTAAAGGACTCAACTGTTCCTCACACGACATTCCAGCTCTGAATGACGTTATATGGCTTAAGAACAACATAAGTCTGGCTATCAGTACTTGGGTACAATGTTTCCAACACTGGCGCCATCGATGAGCTGGACTACATATTGGACGCATACCGGCTTCACGCCGTTCTACTGTCAGCGCATTGCATAAAAAGGCCACGACTAAAACAGCCAAGCAGTTTTGGAATGCAGATATTTTGAAACTTTATTCTAAAAAAAAATATTATTTTTTTTTTGCTGTCCTAAAACCTCGCAAAAAAAACCAAAAAAGGCAATAAAAATGTAAAGTTTTCAAAAAGAACGAAGACTTGTAGGGTTTCAAACAGAAGGCATTTAAACGGAAAGAAATCAATGTAAGGAACAGCGATCCTAATTTTTAAAATATACTTACTTCACGAGTTTTTTTAATGCCAAAATTTCACTAATAAGATACTAGCATTTTGAAAAATACTGCAGTTAGCTTATACGAATGCTCAGGCGTATAAAACAGCGACCTACTTTAAGAAGATAGCTTATCATTACTGCCAATTAAGAGATCCAATATAAATTTACTTTGATTGCACACTTACTCTGGCTGGGTTGTGCACTTGCAAAAACGTCAATAAGATCCAATTTTCTGGTAGGATGACGTTGAAAAAGTCCAGGAAAATCGTGCCCATTTTTTTCGCATGAATAAAAAAAAACATGATCAACCGTGGACTTTTGATCATCGCTCGGTTGCAGAGAATCGCAAAGTGAATTAACTTCCGAAAATTCATCTTCGTAGGTTGAATTTTTCTTCAGAAAACGAGATGAATAAAAAGTGATATCTGGAAATACAAACAGTTCGTGCACCAGTCCGGCATCAATGATCTGAAAGACAACAGTTCTGCAAAATGTCGTCTTTTTTCTGGCTATATAGGAAGCATGTACAAGTTGATTCTACAAACGGTTACTTTGTTTAAAGTGTTCAATGCTGCAAACTGACGACATGTGCCTTCTTTTTGCAAGTATTGAAAGCAAAATTTTGCCAGTGAAGAAAGAATGTCAAGAAGATGCAGTTTTTTTGCTTCACGGTAAGTTGGAGTTGCAGACTGATATTCAGCGATTGATGTCTAAAACAAGAGAAGAATCTGTACAAGTGCTGTCTGTTTTCAGGAATTACTAATAACGTCTTTTCTAAACCATTATAATTTTTCAGATCTAGACAACAACTAATCCCTAATTCACTGATTTAGAAGTGGTTGATGGTTAACGCTAACCTGAAGCATACGATGAAGTAAGCCGCCCAAGTGGCCATCAAATGCATCTCTGTCGGGGATGAAAGGGCTTACTTCCATGTCTCCAACATATTTTTGCATCATCACCTAAAAAACTGATCTCAAATAAATTAACAGTAATGTAATTAATTTTCTGATCACACTAGTTCAAGAGGTAAAATACTGTGAATAAAGACTGTAATCAGATTACCGTTTTTTTTTTGACATTTTAATGCAATAGGAGTCTAGCTTTAAAGTGTTACCAGCAATTATATTTTAGTCAATTGAATACCTAACATAAATTGGCAGTAAAAGTGAAGAAATCAAATTTGCTTTAATACCCTTATGACTTCAAGACATTCGGGATTAACGGCCATTTTTTTTAGCAATATCCAAGCTCTTTCCCATGCACTTGGCCAGACGGCGTCGTCATTGCCATTTCTTTCTTCTAAAAGCTAGTCATTAGAAGCAGTTGATTTTTATTCTTTGTCATCAAAACATAGATAATTATTTTTGAAACCTACTAAATTCAAAGCCATTTATAAGACAAAAATCTAAACTTTCTTAAATGAATTACTAAACCACCTTCTCTGACAGGAATTTGTTTCTTGTATAACTGGGTGGAACTTTGCGACTTTCTCTTCAAACTTCTGTCTCTCACCAACGCAGCATCAATCAACGATGTTGCACTGACAGACGGTGTAGTTGAAAGATTTTTTACAAGAATATTTTTTAGCGGAGTTGACGTTTTTTGGGCTGTAAATCAATTGAGAAATGATTTATGATTATTCTACAAAATAAACTATGATATAAATATGAAAATATTCTTAAAAACATACATCGACGAGAAACGCCATAACCTTGCTGTGATAGTTGCCAAAAGTTGGAGTGCAAACCAAAAAAAAGACCTAGACGACGCGAATCTTCCTTACATTCACTTTTCATACCGACACAGCATGCTTTTGAGAAAAGATCTTCAATACACCTTGCTTGTACTTTCCGAAGTTCCGGTGAAAGATCCAATGGACTGGTACCGCGAACATTTTTTAACTCTATCCTAAAAAGATACTGTCACTAACTTCATCTCATCTCGTTAAGTTTTCAGAAGCAAAGTTTAGCAGTAATGAACCACTTACTGAGATCCAAAAAAAACTAGTGCGTAAAGAATGTTAATGCTGGACGGACATTCTCGAACTGCAATCATAAGCGGTGTGTTGCCTTCTTCGTCGGAAAGATTTGGATCAGCACCATATGCAGTCAATAGTGCAATAATTTCAGCACTTTGAGCTCGAACAGCGATTGCCAGCGGCGTTTGATTGATAATTGAAACTACCCGTAATTGAGCACATACTGTACATAGTTCTGGCGTAACTGATGGAGCTCTGCTAAAAG